TAATGATCGGTCAGATATAAACAGGGCTCGGCACGAGGTGGCTAGTTGAAACTGCAAAAAACGAAGTCCCCCTTGACTTCGTCACAAAAGTACGACATCCCCCTTGGCACGCTAACGAACAAATCAAACATGAAAACAAAAAGAATGAAATAGAATTCAAAATCGGCAATAAATAGGGAATAAGAACTAGTGATTGTTTGTATTCTCCGGGTTGGCGGCATGCTGTGTCCGTCGCGCACCACCGCGAGCTTAGAGCACCTTTGCCGCTGCCATCCAGATAATTTGGAGGGCTATAATTAGGCGGGGAGGAGAGGGTTTGGGGAGGTACAAGACCTACTTTGTAGAATATCAGATGTAGATTACTTTTATGTAAAAAGTTTGAAAAAATTATGTGAACAATAGGAATTATGTGACTTTGCTTGCGCCAAGCCACCTCAGGTGGCTATCCAGGTGGCTTGAAAGCCACCTAACCCCGAAAAAAAGTTTGCCATGCCCTTAGTTCACATAATTTTTTCATAATTTTTCATACATAGTTCCAACTCCCCATTGCCCATCTACACACCTGTTTTGGTGCCATTTCATCTTCATTTCACTGTAAACAAAACCTTTGTTTATTTGCTGGCGGCATGCCGCAGCGTGCCGGCAGCAGATCGCACGACAGCGTTATGCTCTTCCGCAAAACGATATCCCCTTTGCTTTTTCCCTCAAAAACGATATCCCCTTTGCTTTTTCCCTCAAAAACGATATCCAGCTTGCTTTGCAAGCCACCTGTGCCGAGCCCTGGATATAAACAACTAGTATTACTTTGCGTTTCACTCAAACGAAGAAAAAACAAAGGCTTCAACAACGTGAAATCATACAAAATTCGATTCTTCTACAGACCTATGAGTTGTGGATTTTTACTAATTCTACAAATTAGCATACCGGCCGAAAGAGTCCCATCATGGACTGAGGTATTTATACAAGCTCTTTTGGCGCAAATTCCCACAAGTTTACATATATCATAGGTAACGTCTTGTTTTAACCTCCGCATTTACCCTACTCTCTACCCTCAGCGCGAAGCAGTATATACAATGAATAAACCAAAACACAAAATTGAAATTGAAATTACAAATAAATAGATTCGATTAAAGTAGATTGGAACCAAGTGAAGTAGATACACTTATTTGATAACAGACCGACACCCACGAGTCACTCGAAGTTTTCAATGTGAGATTTAGTAGTATCTTCAGCTGTAAATGTTATGTTATTCCTTCTATTAGTTTCTATGCTTTGGTCCAGAATTCTATGATTTTAATCAGTACGTCTCCAAATCAGTTATAGAAGCACATCTTTATTAACATTACTTGCAGTAAAGTTGGTAGAATTATGTATGAAATGTAGTTTTTTTGTCCAGAGCTTTCACTTTCGCCTTATACTCTTCACACCACTTTTTCTCTTGGACTTTATTTTACTTTTTTGCGTCGGCTCGTTGAATTCGGTATCAGGAGAGTCAGAATCGACGATCTGCAGATCACGAGGATATTCGGTATTAGGCTACTCCACCTTGCGAAACTAACAGTTCTGTTCGTATCGGTACCAGCGCTCTTTTCCATTTTCTTGAGGGTAAGTTTGCTGTCATCTTGGATCTATGAAAGAAGACATTGTAATATTACTCTGAGTCAATTTGACACTACCTTGAATTCTCCATAGTGGAGTTCTTTCAAAATTTTTGCCAACTCATCCATAGTTGGTCTCTGCTCGGGATTTACTACCCTGAAAGTTTGAAGAATTTTTTTTACAATAAAAACTCTTCGATCCGTTACCAGATTTTAGCGACCAGGGCCTTTATACAAGAAGGAGTCTTGGGTGGTAATTCTGGCATTCTGCCATGTCTGAAGTTATGATTTTTTGTATGATCAACATGTACAGTCGAGTAGATTTAGCGGTAAATATAGTGTGCTTGCACGGAAGGTGAAATGCGGTAAAATTGGCGCGTGAAGAAATAGCTTCGACTGTGACGCCGGCCAATTGCGCGCGCAAAATACCCGCAGTAGTGGCGTGGCTACTTGTTCACGCGCAAATTTCACCGCATTTCACCTTTTGTGCAAGTACACTATATTTACCGCTAAATCTACTCGACTGTAAATGCCAAAAACCTTATATGCGTTGCGATTCGTTTCGGTTCGTCAGTAGGCCACGGTCTTTCACCTTCATTGAATACTTCGTACAAGAGCTGGAATTTTCCGCTGTCGTTGAATATTTTTACTAATTTAGGTCGAACAAAAATGTCAAAACAACGCAACTCATGGAAAATACCCGTTTTTTTTTTGAATTTGTCTATTTCAGATCATCTAAGATCAAGCTTCTATAATGATAATAAGGAAAACAAGTCTCATTCAGCACGGAGGAGTATCATGCATGAATTAGTACAGATGAAAACTAAGCTTTTTTTGTGTAAAGTTATTGAAGGCTTCAGGCTGAGCCGTTACCCAAGCAGAATTCAACTCGTCCAACTCCTGCGAATCTAGGCGTTAGCCCAAAGCAAAATTTTACGGTCAGAAACGCTGAGTAATCGCTTAAAAACTGGCGGGGGGGGGGGGGAGGGCTTGGTCTAAAGTTGTAAATTGAATTTTTTGCATAGCTTTTGCAGTGATGATCTGCAAAAAAAGAAGCGAGAGGACACAAGTAAAAATAATTAGACAGGTTATATTGACGTATCTCTTTGCTTCTAATATATTATAAGGTAGCTAAGACAGTCAACTTTGGATGTATAATCTCAATATCATTCTTTATTGAGTAGTATATTCTGGCTCTCATATGTACCTGAATGAGTGTTGCTTGAGATTATACATCACCAGTGCGTCACCTCTGCTTCGCAAAGGTTCGCACTGGCACTACTATCTATGTGCCTTACTCATTCTCGTAAAATCGTGGCACTGGAACTCACCGCGCTATGCCGACTACCACGAATAAAATGTAAACAACCACTCATTTAGAAAGCTTCTTGTGAGATCGGTGATTTTGCATGGATGAAACTTTTCGCAGACAGACAAACGCAAATTTGAGTAGGTTTTTGGATTTGTCATGACTTGGAATTCGCCATAAAGGTAATGATAACCGTGAGCTACATTTCTGTGCGAAAATTTTCTCAAACGCCTAGCTATAACCTTGGCAAATTGACCATTTACACAACCAATTCGTTTTGGCGCCGTTTTTGTTATGTAGTAAACTTTCGACCACTTTTCTGGCCAAACTCGATCGCTTGCACATTTGCTTACCAAACTCATCCAGGACTCTGCAAAAAGTGGTGATACGGACCGAATTTTGTTGTACAGAAGCCAGGTGGACCCGTTTGGCGCGCAGTTTCTGGGGGATCCACTCAACGAATCTACTCGTGCTTTTGCATGTTGGACTTTCATGAAGGTAGCATGCGCTGTACAAAATTTGGGCTTAGAACGCTGGCTGGAACACGCTCCACGAATTTCGTACCAGACACACACACAAAGTCACGTAAACATCCTTAGCCCGTTATTATAAGTCATGATACAATGTTGATTTCGAGTTTCTGTCTTGATTTAGTGTTTTTCTTTTTTTTCTTACTGAGTATCACTTAGTTTTCATGATAGGCGCACTTATTGTGCATCAAATAAATAATTAAATAGATAGATAAATAAATAAATAACTGGTCTGTATAGCGTATTAGCGATACTGAAAAGCAACTTACAACTCCAAAGCTCCATATGTCACTTTTAGCTGACCAAAGCTGTGGTCGTTTCAACGTTTCGGGAGCCATCCATCTGAAAATCAGCAAAACTTATACTACAAGTTTTTTGATCAACAACTGTTGTTTCTAACAAAGCATTAGATTATGAGGGGCACAGATATAGACGTACCGTAATGGAATATGCTCTATTGGTGGTTCTCCCCGCTCTTCCTCATCTTTCTTTGCTTCCAAGTCCTCAGCAATTTTTGACAATCCAAAGTCGGAGATCTATAATGGAAAATTTGAAAAAAACAAAAACAATTTCTAAGCGAGGAGATGGATTGTTGGGAGTATACTACTGGCACAAAAAGCTCGAGTGGTGGTGTTTCTGCTTTTTTGGCAATTGCAGATCCTAAAGCCCACGCAAGAGAATAACTATGATGGTACCAAGTGAGTAATATGTATATTTTCCATGTGTGCAATTGCACATCTACTCGCTCGCAACTCTAGCAAACCAGACATTTCTGCTTTTTTCGGCATCGCATCTGTTCGATTCATGTAAGCCGTCATATTTTACCTAATAACTGACTCAACCCCAAACGTTCGCATTATCAATATTTACAGATGTTGATGTGCAATTGCACTCATTAGTGGAGAGAGGAATTGATTATACTTACTTTTAAGCTACCCTTCGATAAAAGGCAATTTCTTGCAGCCAAGTCTCGATGCACACACCCTTTTGAATGCAAATATGCCATCCCTTTCGATGCCTTAATGAACAAGCAATATGGGTAAATTTCGAGGGGCGGGGGGAGCAGAAATAAGGTCCATGAGCTGTATTTCCCAAACAAATTGAGTAGAACAGCATACATTAAAATTTCCCCTCACTAGTGGTAATTAGATTTAGATTTCTAAAATCTGTTATGATCCCCAGTGATATAGCACGAGAAGAAACTAACCTCATAAATTAATGATATCCTTTCAGGAATCGAAACTTTCTCTTTATTTTTTTGCAAATGCTCTTGTAAATTACCACCTGGACAATATTCCATAACTATCATCACTGGATAATGATCACATGCTACACCAAACAGCTGAAAATAGACTTTTTTGAACAAAAAGTTGTTTTTGCTAGAACAGAGTTTACCTGTATAACATTTTTGTGTACATAATAACTCATTAATTGTGCTTCATGTATCATCGACTCCCTTGCTTGTTTTGCTGCTTCGTTCATAACATCTTTTGCAGCACCATGGCAAATCTGGAAGCAAAATTTTGTTCTTGGTCTCCGATGCACTTTCAGTCTTGCCTTTATGGCTACAGGAATTAAAACATTCTTTTCACGTTCGTACGTCCCTCGATATACCTTGCAAAAATGTCCAGCTCCAATTGAATCCTTTAAACTAACGATGTAAACGCTTCAAAAATCCATTGTGAACACACCTTTAGCATATCAAACTTGACCACATCATGTTTAATTAACCATTTCGGTCGATATATAGGAGTTTTCATGACGATATGACCAGGAAGTTCATGTTTCTGCAGCCGAATCATGAAGTAAACAACGTTTACAGCTCATCTTGTGCCAGCACTGTGTCATGTCGGAACGCCCGTGGACCCCCCCCCCCCTTCCATCGATCGATCGACGTTTCTGCACGGCGCTAACACGACGTTGGCACTGGCATCTTTAGACTTAGCTACAGCACTCGTTACCTCCTAATTGCACTCACCGTATAATACTCCACCAAGTCAACAACCGTATCAAATTGGGGAGCTTTCTTCTTTCTGTATGCACTAAGTACCCATTTGTGATTCTCGTATCTAAAAGTTTGTGAATGGTTCTGACTTGAACGAACCCAGACCAACGAACTGGTACTGTTGTGTGTATCATTATTTTTATTCAGATGAATGAATCAAAAATAGGGGCCGGCAAAGGCTGCCACCTTCCCGCGGTGCCGGCTGGCAGCGGGGATCAACCCCGGCAAACGACGGGGGCACTGTTCCGTCGGGCCCCGGGCAAACTTCACGCGATTTGATCGTCGCGACTGAGCCGCGACGAGACAACTGTTACAACATCATTCCATGCCGATCAACTTGCATTCGGTTGTGATACTTTTCCAGCCCGAAATTTTTGAATGTGAAATGAAAATGAATGAAAATCTTGGCGATTAGATCGCGACGATTAAATCGCGTGAAGTCTGTCCCGGGCCTCAGGCGGAGCGACGCGCCGGGGACTGTACGAATTTGTCGTATCACATGCATCGGACTATTAAGGATTTTCGTCAAGCTGCTAGGGCGTTCCCCGGGCGACGCGCGTCATTGCCCGCATGGCGCGAATAGTGAGCTGGGGCTACCTGCCCCCGGACGAGGCAGGCCGAAGAAGCGAGTCCAGGAAATCCGACGATTAATATAGGAACGCTGACGAGCCGCAGCAGGGAGCTATGTGATAGGCTGAAGGAGCGACACATCGACATCGCATGTGTACAGGAAACGAAAGAGGCAGGCTAAGGACATCGGCGAGGGATATCGCTTATACTGCACGGGAGAGAGCAGCCGCCAGAATGGAGTCACGATCATCGTCAGCGGTAAATACCGCGAATTAGTGACCGAAGTGACGCGCATTTCAGATAGATTGATGGCGATGAAGATCAAAGCAGATGATGCCACGCTTCGAATAGTCTCGTGTTATGCCCCGCAATCCGCATGTACCGAAGCCGAGACGGACGTGTTTTGGAGAGACTTCGACATCCTGCTAAGAACATTTGACGCCGCAGACTACATCTTCGTAGGAGGCGATCTTAATGGGCCTGTTGGCCACGAACACGGTGGATTCAAGCCATACCATGGTGGAAATGGATACGGTCAGAGCAATGAGGATGTAGAACGCATTCTGGAAGCCGCAGAAGCACACGACTTGGCTATAGCGAACACATTTTTCAAGAAACGGGAGTCACATTTGATTACGTGCGCGAGTGGAGACCGCTCAACTCAGATAGACTACTGGATGCTGCGCCGATGCCATTTGCCGATGGTGATGAACGCGAAATTATACCCATGGCGACACATGCATTTGCGCCACAACACCGGTTGCTCGTATTGGATCTTCGACTGAACATCCACTTACATCAACGAGCCAGAAGGACGACCACAAAGAGGATCAAATGGTGGAAGCTTCCCGAGCATCGCCAGCAAGTCAGAGATGCTTTTAACGATTTGAGGGTGTCGACGGATGATAAAGAGTCGATTGAAGAGCAGTGGGATCGGATTACTTTGCAAAAACGATCAAGGGCCGAGGAAATCTTGAGAACCACCAAGCCAGGACGCCGGTTTGTAGACAAGCAGATCTGGTGGTGGTCTGAGTCAGTCCAGAAAGTGATCAAAGAGAAGAAAGAAGCCTTCATAGCATGGCAGCGCTCACACTCAAATGACGACCTCCGTCGATATTGAGAACAGAACTCGAAGGCGAAGCACGCGGTAGCCGAAGCAAAAGAAGCACACTACAAGAGACTTTACGACGAGCTGGAAGGACCTGCTGGAGCTAACAAGGTCTACCTACTGGCCGCCGCACGACATCGAGCACGTCATGCATATTAAGGACGCAGAGGGCAACCTCCTGACGAAGCCGAAGGCAATACTCAAGCGGTGGAGTGAATACTACAAAGGTCTATTTAATGAGGAGTTCCCGACCCGTTAGTACCGCAAGGAGCGCCCCACATTTGGACCGGTATCTCGGATCGAGGAGTCAGAAGTGTGCAGGCACTGAGGAAGATGTCTAGCGGAAAAGCCCGGGACCCGACGACATACCTGCTGAAGTGTGGAAGATGATGGGGCAGCGTGGAGCGGCATATCTCACATTGCTCTTTAACCGCATTATCGTCGACGGGCAGTTGCCGCGAATCTGGACTACGAGTGTTACAGTCCCTATCTGGAAGGAAAAGGGCGACGTCAGCGACTGTTCAACATATCGACCAATACGCTTGCTATGCCACACGATGAAGATCTTCGAACGAGTCATCGACGCACGCATTCGAAGTATAGTGGAGGTCACTCCGAATTAGTGTGGCTTTGTAAAAGGATCTGGCACCATCAACGCCACCCACGCAGTACGATTGCTAATGGAAAGGCATTTGGAGAAACGGATTCCGATTCATTTCGCATTCCTGGATTTAGAAAATGCATTTGATCGGATACCACATGGGCTGATCTGGTATGCGCTGAGACAACACGACGTCCCAGAAGAGTACGTTCGCTGGATCAAACTCCTCTATACAAACACGACGGGCGCCATACGCTGTGCAGCAGGAACGTCAACGCCATTCCCAACCCAAGTCGGAGTACATCAAGGATAGGCTCTATCACCGCTTCTCTTTATACTGTGCATGGGCACTTTGACCAAGAACATTCAGCTGCCGCATCCGTGGACGCTCCTTTATGCAGACGACGTCGAGCTAGCAAGCGGATCGAGACAAGAGTTGAAGAGGCGACTGTGAGATGGAAGACACCATTAGCGGAATATGGCCTGCGATTGAACGTAGCAAAGACCGAGTACCTGGAATGCGGAGAGCAAACCGATGGCACAATTAGCATCGATGGGCAGCCGCTGAAGAAGGTCACGATGACGTCGGACTGCGACACGATCACTGATGCTCGTGCTAGGACGAACGCGGCGTGGCTAAAATGGCGGCAAGTAACAGGAGTACTCTGCCACCGACGAATTCCGTTGTATCTCGAGTCGAAAGTGCATCGGACTGTGGTAAGGCCAGTCGCACTGTACGGAGCCGAATGTTGGTCAGTAACCAGGAAACACGAGCAGATCCTGAGCACGATGGAGACGCGAATGATAAGATGGATACTTGGCCTAACGAGAAGAAACTGCGTCACGAACGATGACGTACGACACATTTCGGAGTTGCACCTATCGCGGATAAGTTGCGAGGTGCCAGATTGCGATGGTATGGTCACGTTTTACGAAGTGAAGATAATACCGTAGCAAAAACAGCACTTCGTCTGGATCCACAGGGGAAGAGACCACGTGGCCAGCCGAAACAACGCTGGTTGGCCATTCGAAACGACCTGCATATTGCAAAGCTCAAACCACAAGAAGCAGCTGGTCGAGTCAAATGGAAGCAAAAGTGCACCACCGGACCCTGCCCCCGCGGGACAATGGCGAAGATAAAGAAAGAAGAAGATTGAATCAAAAATAAGACCATACGCTCTGGTAAGAAGAATTGTTGCAAACTGTTTACATAATCTGCGAAGATGGTAAACCCTAATTTGCTTTGGAAATGGGTAGACTCCAATGATTCAGTGTACCAGCTAGTTAGATTCAATGCTCCTTCTCAACCGAGTAATCGACTCTTCAGTCTGCTAGTTTAAGAGTCCCGACCATGCACAATACTAGCTCCACTTCGGTCATTCAAGTACTGCTTGAGCTGCTAGCGGCCAGCTATAGTGAACTTGTAAACATTTCATTCATTGCTGCTAATGACTTCAAGTTCATCGGTTGATGCTTCCATGCAGGACAAGTTTGGGAGTAGGTCACATTTTGCGTTTGAGTCACTTGACGACAGAACATCAGATAATTTCAACAAAATGGCAAACTCATAGCATTTAGAAATCAAAAACGAACCCGCTGGTTCGATGCAGTTTTGAAGGTAGCTTACTTCGCCGCTTGCTCAAAGGAAAAAAGAAGATATCAACAGAATCAATTTCTTGGATCCTTGTGAGCGCATGACAGTATTGTTACGAAGACCAAAGAATCTTGAAAGTTTGTGTGATTGCACAGTTTACCTTAATGTCAAATGTGAATGCTCCTTCCTTCGGCCCTTGACACGTATAGAAATAATGATCTCTGGAATATCTCTTGAATCTGTCGATCGAACCAGCCAATCTCCCGGTGTTCGTAGTAAGCACCTGCGCAAACCAATATGTCACGAAGCAAACCATGAACTTCACTTTACACTTACAATATATCTCGTCTTGGACGCAGACCATGGTACCATGGTTGTTCTTCAAGGTTCTTCGACACTGGGTTTGTTTGTAGGGGTGGATTAAGCAGCGCTCCGGTAATGGCAGTAGTCATTTAACAAATGAAACATGCTAGATTTAGGAAGTTTTGGATTCTTCAAATTATGGGAAAGCTGATATGAAATAACGCTTTTCTTGAACGGTAAGGTTCTGTTCCTGTATTCGCCGAAATCAGCAACCCTCTGAACTGTCGTTTTGAAAGTTTTGTGTTAATTGACTTCATTTTGATGCTTTTTTTCCGAAAACACCCCTGCGAGTGCATTTGTGCGCCGTACGTCTAGTTTTGAGGCCAATGGAACGAGCAACGAAAATCCGACTGTTCGTATCCTTGTGAATCTTATATATAAAGCTGAATGTCTGTCTGTGTGTCTGTGTGTGTGTCTGTACGTATGTTCCGAATAGAAAATTCCATTTTTCAACCGATCCGGACCAAACTTGGCACACATATACTTTGGGGCGGGTAGCGTGTCATAGGCTACTTTTCGTCATCGATCGATACCGATTTTATCGATTTTTTGCAAAATTTGAGCTACGGGGCTGAGAGTTGGCACGGGGGGGGGTAATCGAGCATGCTGATTACGAATATAATAATGACAGGGCCGGGCGGAGTCGGGTAAGTCAAGTAGTCTCTCTATAAAAATGCTTGGTTTAAGCGAACTTTGTGCCGCACTAGCCGAAGAGGATGTTCGTCGAAGATTAATAACTCCCTCCTAAAAAACCGGTAGCTGAATTCGATGTGAGGCAGTCATAGTGACTTTAGAAGCCAGTATACTTTGTTTTTGCGGCACTTGTGGAATGGTAGGATAAATTTTGTTTAAGCTTTCCAGAGTGAAAAAAGTTCACTAATCTTCTAGTTCTTAAGAATTCCTGTGAAGCTGACGGGTTGACTTTGGAGCAAGGCACAAATTCTATTTTTGCTCTACTTCTTCAGCTCATTTCGGAAGAACTAAACTTAGCAGTGTTATACTTGTATCTTATCGAGCCCTGCATTTATGTAGCAATTTTGAGCGCATACTGCTAGGAATAATTACGCAGATCAATTCTTAGATGTCAACAACTCTCTGCACTTAAAGGCACCGTCCACCCAAAGTGAGGGTTCACGAGATTCGATGGATACTAATGTGGGCCCCCACACTAGGCCAACCCCCAAGTTTTCTCGCAAAAGAGTGCTTCCGGAGCGAAAAATCCGCTCTGGAAGGTACGTGGTACGTGATCCAAAGGTGGTCACTCCGCCCATTTTGCAGATTTGGGGGCTGCGGCGCTGATATACGCCAGGCAATAACCGCGCCGCAGCCCTGCAAACTGCACTTCCACCCGTCCCGTTTTCTCCAAAATAGGGGTTTTTGGGATTCTCGACTTCATATTCAAAATCAGGGCCTTCAGAAGGCCCGGAAGCGACAAAAACATGGAAGTCGAGGATTTGGGTGGACGGTGCCTTTAAGAAGCCTTATTTGTGAAAGTCGCTTGAAATATCAAATAACCATCAAATTTGCGAAGGCTTAATGGCCAGTGAGGAGGAACTTGCAGGAGAATCAAAAACTAACCCTTCATTGAGGCTCTTCTTGGCTGAAATTGCTTTTGTTCAAAAATAAACTGCTAGTAGAAAGGGAATAGTAAGGGAAGTGGATGAAGGCAGAAAAACCATTAGATCAACTAGAAAACAGCTAAATTTTGTTGTTTAAATTTTATCAGTCATAGTTCGTTTTCGTTCATAAAAACACATACAATCTTCACAAGAAATAAAATAGACGCTATCACTCAGCAAGTGTACAAATAACCATGAAATCAATTTTACAAGAATCAGTACTGCCATGGAATGTATATTCATTTAAAACAAAGATGTTATGTTGAAAAGAAATTCATCCTCTGCCACCGCAGTCACCGAATCCACACGAAACACCAACTCTCATTCCCATACGTGGCCATGCATCATGGTGAACCTAAAAGTTCAAGTAGGACTATTCTATCATGAAAAACGGGATAGAAATTCTTGACTTCAAAACTGTGATTTCTACGGCTAAGTTCCTTACTTCCCAGTGCTACAAACGTCTTTCTGGTACTAGTAAGGAGTTAACAAATAATTCTCTCGCTGATTATTTTTAAAGGCACAAATACCCACCATGTAGTGAACCATTCCAGCTCCTTCGAGGAAAGCCCTTGTTTCTCCGATTTGCTTGCCTGATCCTAACTCGGGATCCTCTTTATAAGTCTTGAGAATGGTCGGTTGCAAATTGCATAAACCACCTACGATATGAGCTTTGTTTTTATCTCCTTTCTTCTTGTAGTGGTGTCTGAACAAACGTAGACTAGAAGGTAAATCATAGGAAATATAAAAGCATTTGCTTTTGTAAAAAGATAAATATAGCATTCAAAATAAAAGAGGTTAACGATATTTTTGAATTAAAGTAATTTCGCATACACTTTGCTCTTTGTTCCATTGTGAAATGTGAACTGAGAATGCATAATGCCATCAGTTTGAGACTCAAGTTCGACATCTATGTCACAAGTGTAAACCACAGTCACCAGTAAGCAGAGCAGAGCAACCAACATTCTGAAATTAGGATCACGGTGGGATCTGGTCAGGGCACTAAATACCTTCCAAATCTTTTCATGATATATAAACAGCTAAAGGGCAGATTTGAAAACAAAAATTTTTCGAGAATGATTTGATGTAAACAGCAACTTGCATAGCAATGAGAACGAAATGGGGTAAGTTGTCTGTAGTAGGTCGCGTAAGCTATAAATTCCTTGTTAAAGGTCGAGGTCGCCGTGATTCCGACATCTCCTTTCATCCAATCGCAAATTTTACAGTTCATGATAACATCTGTTTACCAAGAAGGGAAGAGATTAGTAGTTTGAAGCAATTCCACAGACGATACCAGAAATAAGACGTTGAGAATTAACAGATGTTGAAGGAAGGTGTCGACAATAGAATGGGTCTTCTAGTAGCAAATTTTTAGGAAACTTTAGGCTGCAGCAAAAGTTTTCTTCTCTTTTGATCGATTACTAGAAGTAAAAAGATACTGATAGTGACTTAGGTATCATTTAAAACAGCTTTCATCTTCTTTCTGTTGCCTACTGCTTCCTTGTGAAACAGGAAGTCTTCGCGTTTATCGTCGTGGATTTTTTGGCCTCCATTTTGCCGAAATTCAATTCCATATTCTGAAAAAAAATCTAGCCTACTGAATACATGCTAAAGGTCAGTGCGTGATTGAGCCATTAACGGCTGTTGTAGTCATATTTGATTTAGATCAATTTTTAAGAAGTTTTTTATTGTTTATTAATTCTATAAGAAACTCAGCTTTTCGAATTCATGTAAAACACGAGAGTGCAAGTAAGTGCAACAACCTAAAACCTATACTTATACAGGGTGTCCCAAAAAAATGTTAACACTGTTTGGTCGTTAATAACTCTCTTGCTTTCAAATCTTTCGCCGAGCTTTAGGTACCACTTTGTAGACCGAGGATAAACTTAGATTAACAGTATGGAGCGAATCATCTAACATTCTCTTGTTGCTGTAGAATTACGGTGGGAAATTTGACAAAGATTTTAGGCCATTAAACCATTTTCTGCTTCGAAACAGAGCCAAACAAGCCCAAATCTCTTGTACTATGGTAATGAAAGCCGCTGATTTCGGATACGAAACTTCCATTTATTATGATACTTCTTTTTAAGGTTATCCTAGGTAAAGTGTAATGACTGACTTCCCAGCATGTGTCAAAAATGTGATTAAACCGTAAAAAAGCTGAAAACACTCGTAAAAAGTTGTTAGGTGGAATCAGCATGCGCGAAAACCCTAGTACACGAATTTTCAGATTTTTTGAGAAAAATTTTGTCAGAGGGCATATCTCACGATGGTTCCACATGCTGGAATTTCCTACCGTAATCCTACAGTAACGAAGAGCGAACGGTGATTCGCTCCATACTGTATGTCTAAATTGAACCTCGCTCTACAGAATGGTGCCTAAAGCTCGTCGAAAGACATGAAATCATGGGAGTTATTAACGATTAAACAGTGCTAACATTTTTCTGGGACACCCTGTATAAAGCTGAGTATTGGTAAATTGTTAGTTAGTGTGTTCATTATAAAAAAATTTCGTATGTGGACCGATTAGCGCTAAACTTTGTACACATATGTTTCCGATACTGGTCCTCTCCGTAGGCTAACTTTTCGCGTAGGCTAACTCCCATCCCTTCTATGGATTTATCCATTTGAAGGAAAATATATTTTTATCAGTTGCTACCAAACTAAAAACCTTTCATGTAAACAATAGTGGTAGAACTGATTTACGTTCCACGATAGGGAGAGTGGTAATTGAATGCAATGGGTCAGTTGGTATCTATTTTGCGCGACTCGAGAAACAGAAGAAAGAAAAAGACCAAAAAAGTTGAGTCTTTTGAGTTGCGCATCATAAGTGTCTTTGTTGTATCAGTTGCATCCACGGCACGAGCGAAGCTGGGCATGCCAACTAGATAGTTTCAAATGATATGTATATCAATTCGATCATAAACGAGTCGAAAACAACTGCTCATTCCTTCAGCAGTTGTTCAAGGGATTCATTTGCTGTAAGATCGGTAACGTAGGGAGAAGCAACTTTCTGCAGAGGAACAAATGCGAAGATGATTCACGTGCCGAATTTATTTTGGTTTGATAATCACCATAAGGAGTAAACCACCGTAGGCTACATCTCTAATTCTCTCAACTACTTGAGTAAAACTTTCGCAAATTGACGACTTACGCAATTCTTCCTTTTTGGTACCATTTTCACATAAAGAAAAGATTTTAAACTACTTGATGAGCTAAAATTAATAAATTGCGGATTGCTTTTTAGACGAATCGTCATCTAAATATTAGGTTGAACCGAAAGTTCTGTCGCACCATTTTCAAAAAATCATAACTTCTTTCGGTCACCACGATTTTGCGCAAATCAAATTTTGTCTGAAAGCGTAAAGCAAGTAGCCTGCAATAGTTTCCTGAGGACTTTCCAAGGTGCTCAGGTTGCAGAGATAAAAATGAAAGAACGAAATCATCCGAAATTCGGAATTTTTAAGCAAGAGTTCTAGAAAATCAGAAACAGCGCGATAAAATCCAGAAAAGCCATTATCCTAATCTTTCTTAGATTTGATTACTATCTGAGTCAAGTTTGCGCTGATCGAGGTCTTCTTTCAGAAGTTATGATTTTTTAAAAAATAATGCCGAAAAATCAATTGCCTAAGAATTCTTAAGAAATGGATTTTTTGGCATTTTTTTTTCAAAAATTCATAACTTCTGAAAGAAGACCTCGATCAGCGCAAACTTGACTCAGATAGTAATCAAATCTAAGAAAGATTAGGATAATGGTTTTTCTGGATTTTATCGCACAGTTTCCGAATTTTTAGAATTCTTGCTTAAAAATTCCGAATTTCGGATGATCTCGTTCTTTCATTTTTATCTCTGAAACTGAGCACCTTGGAAAGTCCTCAGGAAACTGTTGGAAACTACTTGCTTTACGCTTTCAGACAAAATTTGAATTGCGCAAAATCCTTGTGAGGCAAAGAAGTTATGATTTTTTGAAAATGGTGCGACAGAACTTTCGGTTCAACCTAATACTTTTATCACCGCCCAAATCTGAGGTCAAAATCAGGGTGATCCCGTTCAACGCACAATTTTTGAAGGGTTTGCGTAATGGATAGGCACGTCCTTGAAGGTAGCGTCGCGACAAAATGATGGGATGCTGTGGCAAGCCTTCCCCCTTTCCCCCCCCCCCCCAACTAATCTATCAGTGAAGTCTGAAGCGAAAAAGCGCGTCTGGGAGTTTGTAATCTACTTTGGAAGTCTTAGTTCGCCTCCCATTTATACGTATTTTGCAACGAGTGTTGACATGGAGAGCTTCGAAAAGAGCTAATTTTCGCCAATTTCGTGCGCTGCAAAGCCCATATATGGGTTCGGCATGGCAAGGAGGCTCTTAAAACGTGAAATGCCGAAGAATGAGATTTTGGCGGGACACTGCCTATAGTCATCGTAGACTACTAGCAATGTGCGGTACTAGCACGTAGACTACATGCTAGTACCGCACATTACGCAAGATTGTAGCTCTATATGTTGTTTGCAACTCGCTTCGTGAATCTCGTGAAAGAGGACATACACACCAGGATGTTAATGTAATCCTAGGCTTTCTTTTTTCGACCTCCCCCCCCCCCTCCACTCCCTCCACTCCCTCCCCCCGGGAGACGGTCAAGAGGCGCGATCTGTAAAGGTTACTAGTTTAACAGCTCACTTCAGAGCTAAGAAAGTCCTTCAAGAATACCAGACAATGCCCACTGACGATCATATATTATTATTATTATTATTAAAAATTTGAATTGCTCCCCGAGCATCATAAAATGCTGAAAATACGCTGAGTGGTGTTCAATTGGCAATAAAAATCGCCTCTTGACATCCCTCCTCTTCCCTAACCTGCATTAGCGTTCTGATATCAAGATATCCAGCTAATGCAGGTTTGGGAGGAGGGGAGATGTCAAGAGGCACGATTTTTATTGCCAGTTGGACACCAAGCGTTTTTAGTATTTTATGATGTTCTGGGAGCAATTAAAATTCACAACTCAAAGATTGCTTTTCCAAAAATTATACGTAACGGTAAAAAAATGTACTTACAAATTGAGAGATAATGCAAGTAATAGATTGCTCAAAAACCTCCAAAAATCATTCTGTGCAGCTGAAGATTTGGCTGTGCTGTATTGTGGTCGCGAAAAGATGGATGGAAAGGAGATGGACTGACGGAGGACATCAATTTTAGTCTGTACTGACATTTGAACTGTAACTTGCCTAAACGTTGAATTATAAACAGGAAACGAAATAAGATAACGATTAGGAAGCAGGATATAATTGATAATATAATACAGGATATAACTGATTTTCACTACTATAATTGATAATTTTATAATAATTTGTTTCTAATGCTGGTAATAAAAACGCTTTAGGCTGTAACGATAGTCTGGGGTTTAATCCCCGTATGAGACATTATTTTTTGCAGGATGGAAAAATGGTATTTATTGAAACTCATTTTACACTTTTCGCACAGGTTTTCTTGCGAACAAAACCAATTTAACGCCTTCAAAACGATGTCAAAAAGGTGCATGAGCATGGCACTGTGCGTGAGCATGAAACTTCGTAACTAAAGTTAGGGAAGTCTGAGAGGTTGCAATGAGCAGGTTGTATAGTGGAATCCTTACAATTAAGGATAAAAGTTGCAGCCACTCAGCAGTGAGCTCGAAAAAGGAGATGCGACTCCAAACTTAGATGCGACATGAAAACCAAACTGCAGTTTTGAGCTTAAAAGTTAAGCCCAAAATTTTCAGAATAGAAATTAGAAGGACGTTGTTGTAATATTATAAAGTTGTAGGGAACAGGCTTGAATAGCTGCGAAAAAATTTAGATGCGACCCCCTCCCCCTTACTTCATGAGAAAATTCACATGTTATGAAATAAGATTAGGTTTTGCACAAATGAGTAGACATCTCCAAGGTACAGAAAAGGTGTATGAGCTCGTACAAAACACTTACATTGAAGAT